TTGGGACATTTCAGATTTTGGTTTTTGGGGATTAGGGATGCTCACCCTGTGTAACACTTGTTCACTTAAAAATGCTCTAAATCATTTTTAAGTGCACAACAGTTCAGTAGCATTAAGTGCATTCACATTGTTGCACAACCATCACCACATTCTTCTCCAGAACTCTTATATTCTAAAACTTAAACTCTGTGCCTATTGAACTTCCCCTCCTGCTAACCCTTGGCAATTATCATTCTTCTTTCTGTCTCTATCTTGACTTATCTATACCTCTTATAAGTGGAAGCATACGGTATTTGACCTTTTGTGACTGACGTGTTTCACTGAGCATAGTATCTTCAGAGTTCATCCATGTTGTATCATGTGCCAGAATTCCATCTTTCTGAGGCAGAATAATAATTCATTGTATGTATTATGGGGTGAGTATACCTAAACCAAAAATTCAATATCTGAAATGCTCCCATATCTGAAAATTTTTGAACACTGACATCGTGTTCAGAGGAAATGCTCACTGGAGCATTTCAGGTTTTGGATTTTTGGATTTTCAGATTAGGGATGCAAAACTGTTGTAATACAAATATTTAATATTTCAAAATTCAAACAAATTTCAAATTCAAAGCACTTCTTGTCCCAAGCAAATCAGACAAGGAATATTTAACCTGTACCATGTTTTTGTTTGTTTGTTTGTTTTGTTTTGTTTTGTTTTGTTTTGAGATGGAGTTTCGGTCTTGTTACCCAGGCTGTAGTGCAATGGCACGATCTTGGCTCACCACAACCTCTGCCTCCTGGGTTCAAGCAATTCTCCTACCTCAGCCTCCCAAGTAGCTGGGACTACAGGCTGCGCCACCATGCTCAGCCACTTTGTATTTTTAGTAGAGATGGGGTTTCACCATGTTGACCAGGATGGTCTTGATCTCTTGACCTAGTGTTCTACCTGCCTCGGCCTCTCAGTGTACCATGTTTTTTTATTTTTTATTTTTTTTAAATTTTTTTATTTTTTAAATCCATTGATCCTTTGATGGACACTTGTTACTTCCATATTTTGGCAATTACTATGAATAGTGCTATTATGAACTTGGGTGTCCAAATACTATACTTTTGACTATATAACCAGAATAGGAATTGCTGGATCATGTGCTAATTTTTTTGAGGAATCTCCACATTGTTTCCCACAGTGGCTATACCATTTTACATTCCCACCAGCAATGTACAAGGTTCCACATTCTCCACATTTCTGTTAATGCTTGTTATTTTCTGGTGTGTGTGTGTGTGTGTGTTCATGTGTGTGTTTATGAACATTCTAATGGCTGTGAAGTGGTATCTCATTGTGGTTTTGTTTTTCCCTAATGATTAGTGATGTTGAACGTCTTTTCATGTGATTATTAGCCATTGGCATATCATGTTTGGAGAAATGTTTATTCAGATTCTTTGCTCATTTACTAATTCAGGTACCTTGATGTTTTGAGTTGTAGGAGTTCTTTATTCCGGATATTAATTCCTTATCAGATATATACTTGCAATGTATCTTCTGTTCCACAGGTTGCCATTTCACTCTGCTGATAATGTTAGTAATAAGGTTTTTAATGCTGATAAAGTCTATTTTTTCTTTTGTTGCCTGTGTTTTGGTGACATCCAAGAAATTATTGTCCAATCCATTGTTGTAAAGCTTTTTCCATATGTTTGCTTCTAAGAGTTTTATAATTTTATGTCTTACGTTTAGGTCTTCGATCAATTTTAAGTTAATTTTGGTATATGGTATAAGATAAGGGTCCAACTTAATTCTTTTGCACATGAATATTCAGTTTTCACAGCACCATTTGTTGAAAAGGCTGTTTTCCCCATTAATTCAATATATTTGTGAAGGTTTATTTCTAGACTCTATCCTATTTCATTAGTTTATATGCCTCTCTTTATAGTAATACCACTCTCTGAATTACTATAGCTTTGTAATAATACATTTTGAAATCAAGATGTGTGAGATCTCTGACTTTGTTGTTTTCTTCAAGGTTCTTTTGTTATTTGGGGTCTCTTGAAGATTTTCTATGAATTTTTGAATGGAATTTGCTATTTCTTTTTTTGCTATGCACACGTTGCACTGAATCTGTAGATTGCTTTGAATAGTATTGATATCTTAATACGAAGTCTTCTAGTCCATGAACATTGGATGTCTTTCCATTTTTTCGTCCCTCCTTTAGTTTTTCAGCAACATTTTGAAGTTGTTAGCATAAAAGTCTTTCACCTCCTTTGTTAAGTTTATTCCTAAGTGTTTTATTTTATTGATGCTCTCTCCATTTTGGATTGTTCATTTTGTATAGAAACACAGTCGATTTTGTGTGTGTGTTGTTTTGTATCCTGCAACTTTGCTGTATTGGTTTATTAGTTTTAATAACCTTTTGGTGGAATCTTTAGGGTTTTCTGCATGTCAGATCATGTCACCTGCAAACAAAGGTAATGTTACTTCTTTTCTTTTGGATGCTTTTTTATTTTTCTTGCCAAATTGTTTTGGTTAGATATTCTAATACTATGTTGAAGAGAGGTGGTGAATGTGGGCACCTTGTCTCATTCCTGATCTCAGATGAAAAGCTTTTAGTCTTTTACCCTTGAGTATGATATTAGTTGTGGGTTTTTCATATGTGGCCTTTATTATGTTGATGTATTTTCCCTGTATTAGTTTGTTGAATGTTTTTATCACGAAATGACATTGAATTTTATTAAATGCCTTTTTTGGTATCAATTGAGATGGTCATGTCGGTTTTCTCCTTCTTTTAATGGGTTTGTTAACATTGGTTTTTAAATGTTGAGCCATCCTTGCATTTCAGGGTAAAATCCTACTTGGTCATGGCATATAATTCTTTTAATATGCTGCTGATTTAAGTTTGCTTACATTTTGTCACAGATTATTGCAGCATGATATTCATAGGGGATATTGATCTGTAATTTTCTTTTCTCATGAGATCTTTGTCAGGCTTTTGTAGCAAAGTGATGCTGACTTTATGGAATGAGTTGAAAAGTATTTCTTCAGTTATTTGTAGTACTTTGAGGAGGCTTGGTCCTAATTCTTTAAATATTTGCTAGAATTGAGCAGTGAAGCTATCTGGTTCAGATCTTTTGTTTGTTAGAGGTTGTCAGTTACTGATTCAGTCTCCTTAGGTGAAGGTCTATTAAGATTTTCTGTTTCTTTATAATTCAGTTCCTGGTAAATTGTGTATTTCCAGGAATTTGACCCTTCCACCTAACTTATCCAGTGTGTTGGAAAAGTTATTTTTAGAAGTGCATTTTCCAAGTGATAATTAGTGGAAGGTACAAGATATATTGCAGTATTACAGCTTAAGATAATTATGGATGTTTACATCATTTGCTTGTGATTATCCCAGTAACCCTATGAGTAAATCATAGAGTCATTAGTCCCATTTTACAGATGAAAAAGCTGAGGTCCAAGATGCACAGGCAAAATAGTTGTACAAACTACAGAATTTAAAACTTAACAAATCTTGATAGAAATTTCATGAAGAAAATGTAACAATAATAATAATTGGTTTTTTTTGAGCTGGAGTCTCCTCATTCAGGCTGGCGTACAGTGGTGTGGTCTTGGCTCACTGCAACCTCTGCCTCCCAGGTTCAAGCGATTCTCCTGCCTCGGCCTCCGGAGTAGCTGGGATTACAGGCGCATGCCACCATACTCGGCTAATTTTTGTATTTTGAGTAGAGATGGGGTTTCACCATGTTGGCCAGGCTGATCTCGAACTTCTGACCTCAGGTGATCCACCTGCCTCGGCCTCCCAAAGGGCTAGGATTACAGACATGAGCTACCATGCCCAGCCAATAATTCTTTTTTTTTTTGAGATGGAGTCTTGCTCTGTCGCTCAGGCTGAAGTGCAATGGCATGATCTTGGCTCACTGAAACCTCTGCCTCCCAGGTTCAGGCAATTCTCTTGCTTTAGCCTCCCAAGTAGCTGGAACTACAGGCAAGTGCCACCATGCCCAGCTAATTTTTTTTTTTTTTTTTTTTTTTTAGTAGAGACAGGGTTTTGCCATGTGAGCCAGGATGAGTCTCAATCTCCTGACTTTGTCATCCACCTGCCTCAGCCTCCCAAAGTGCTGGGATTACAGGCATGAGCTACTGCACCTAGCTGCCAATAATTCTCAAAGGTAGGGGTGCATGTTGGAATTTGGAGAGTGTTAGTTTTTTTTTTTTTTTTTTAATTACCAAGGAACAGGTTTTTAAATAATTTGAAAAATATCACGACATCATCTTTCATTTTTGATCTTCATTATCTTTAGCCATCCAAAAAGGCTAAATAATCTTTTATCCAAGAAGTCAGTCAAGTAAAGTAATACACTATAGAAAATTACCATATAAAGTAACTAATTTGGATTAAAAAGGTAGATCTTCAACTTACGTGTCCCGAACAATACATTCCCTTTAATAAATGATTTTCAAATCCTAAAACTGCAGATGTTTTAGATGTCTGAGGATTCTGTCTATATTTTTAGCTAAAACTCTAGGATCACATTTTAAAACTCTGAAAATTTGAGACTTTTCTTTTTTTTTTTTTTTTTTTTGAGACAGAGTTTTAATCTGTTGTCCAGGCTGGAGTGCAGTGGAGTGATCTCAGCTCACTGCAGCCTCTGCCTCCCAGGTTCAGGCAGTTCTCCTATCTCAGTCTCCCAAGTAGACGGGATTACAGACATGCGCTACCACACCTGGCTAATTTTTCTGTATTTTAAGTAGAGATCGGTTTCACCACGTTGGCCAGGCTGGTCTCAGACTCCTGACCTCAAGTGATCTGCCTGCCTCTCAAAGTGCTGAGATTTACAGGGCCTCCTTGCCCAGCCGGAGTTTTTTTATTATTTGCCTTATTTGACCAGGGGTATTGCCCTTTGCCTAGCTTTATTTAGCTATTAGTGCTAATTTTTAGCTGCTTATTTTTCAGCTTATCTGTGGCTTATGTATTACAGTTTAGAACACCAAAGAAATATTTACTAAGCTGTTTATTTTTCAGGTTCCCAGAAGCCAAACAAAATTGGCAATAATGCTTGAAAAATTAGGAATGGATTATGATGGGCGGCCTCACTGTGGTCTTGATGACTCTAAGAACATCGCCCGAATAGCAGTTCGAATGCTTCAGGATGGATGTGAACTCCGAATCAATGAGAAAATGCATGCAGGACAACTAATGAGTGTGTCCTCCTCCTCACCAATAGAGGGCACTCCACCTCCACAAATGCCACGTTTTAGAAAGTAATGACAGATTTGTCCGTGGATCATTCCAACTGAAGTTGCTATGAAGAGGCAGCAGATAATACTCATTGAATTAGTCCTGTAGTGCAAACTTTAAGCACCTTAAAACATTTACAATCTTATTACAGGCGATAGAGATATATGTTTGTGAACATGTTTTTGCGGGAGGGCATACTGAATTCTTTTTCACCAGCACTTTTGATATGAGCAGTATTTGTTACCCAGTAACAGTTCCTGCTTAGAACTGAATTTTATAATTTAAGGTGTTCAAGATGTATTCTCTTTGGTTTTAAAATGCAAAATCTTATTGGCTATTCTTTTGAATGTCATATCTTACTGGTGTTAAAATATGAAATATATATCTTTATTACCATTACTAGATGAAATCATAAAATGCAGAAATGGAAGGTAGGTCTTATCTAGCCTTTGGATTTCAAAAATATCATAGTCCTTTTAATTTTCAAAGTTTATATGAAAAGTTCACCATGTATGCCGTGAATTTCCTAAGATACTTGGCATACGTATCTGCCTGTGTTTCTTTTCAACTCATAATTGGAAGAATTATGATAGATTATAGGGTCTGGTTAAAAATTCAGTTACTAAAGAAATTAATGAGAACTCAGAAGAAAATACTAAAAGGAATATCATAAAGACTGTAGCTCAAACTTCATAATACATAAATAAATCACTGGGGTCTTTTTCAATTTGGTTGTTTGGTTCTCCTTCCTTTTTTGACTTATATATGCCTTACTTCTTAAATCTGAGGGACCATGTTTTGAAATAGACTGAAAATTAAGGGTCACCACCTAATTTTGCATTTGTATTCAGTATCGTAAGTGAGGTTAATAAAATATACTTTCTACCATATATTATGTTTTTGTTATTACAAAACTTCACTGGCCACCAATGGAGTTAATAAAATACTTGTTTTTCTGATTTTACGTAATAGCTGCTAAATATTGAGTAGTTCTTAACTAATTCTAGAAACTAAAATGTGCATTTTGAGTTAATAAGGTAAAACTCTTTATCTAGAGGCTAAACCCGTGTATTTTCAGAATTGAATTTTTCTCCCTGTATCCTTCAAGGGAACAATTTCATTGAATTGCTTCTTGCCTTTTACCTTTTAATAAAAATTGTGATGCTACTTTGTTTTAAAGATGTATGTATTATAACCAAATGAATTTTCTCAAAGTTTTCCAAACCTGATATATAGGTGAAAAGCAGGAAAGTAGACATTTTTCTTAGCATGGGAATTCTCTGCATGGGGCAGATTTCTTAAGCCAATAAATTTCTGCTTTTGAGCAGTAGTCATATAATCAGCACCATAAAGAATAATGTGTAAATAACAGAAGGCACGAGCATGTGATGTTCCTAGATAAACTGTTACAGATTATAGTAAAATAAGGAAATCTAAGCACTTTTGAGTTTTTACAGTTAACTCTTAGTATAAGAGGGATGTATGCTGAGGTGTTTGTGAATCCCAGATAGCACTGTATGATAAACTGTAAAGTGTTACTAAAAGTCTTAAAGAATTTCCTACAACTCCTTACTGTGCCAAGGGCAAAGGATAAAGGAGTAGAAAATAGCAAATCACAGATGGCAGGAGATCTAGACACACTCTTTAGGTGATTTTTTTTCCATATAACCACCCTACTGTGGGATTCAAATCCATGCTCTAACAGAACTATAATTGCCTCTCATGTACTTCCAGAGTTGCACATGAATAGCTGAAACTGCGATTGGAAAATCTGAGGATGGCAAGGAAATTATTACATTGGCGGTTTTCTTTTAGGTCTATCTGCTAATTTCTTTGTCTGTTTTTATTTTTGCCAAGTACCAACAAGTTCATGTTGTACTTCTTTAAGACCTTCAACATTATAAGCTGTCAGTACCCTATTGTTGTTGTTTGACACAGTTTTTGCTCATCTGCCAAGCTGGAGTATAGTAGTGCAATCTTGGCTCACTGCAACCTCCGCCTCCTGGGCTCAGGCGGTCTTCTTGCCTCAGCCCCCTGAGTGCCTGGGATTGTAGGCACAAGCTATCAAATTTTTGTATTTTTAACATAGATGGGATTTCACCATGTTGGCCAGGCTGATCTCGAACTCCTGACCTCAAGTGATTTGCCCGTCTCTACCTCCCACAGTGCTTGGATTACAGACATGAGCCACTGTGCCTGGCCTTGGTACCCTTTTGGCTCAACCATAGATTTTACTGTCTTAACCCATTTTAATTACTCTTTTGAGTCTCTGTCCTGCCTTCCAATTTGATCAGGGATTTTGCTGATGAGATGATATTCAACATCAAGAGTACTACTTTTGCCGGGCGCGGTGGCTCAAGCCTGTAATCCCAGCACTTTGGGAGGCTGAGGCATGTGGATCACGAGGTCGAGAGATCGAGACCATCCTGGTCAACATGGTGAAACCCCGTCTCTACTAAAAGTGCAAAAAATTAGCTGGGCATGGTGGCACGTGCCTGTAATCCCAGCTACTCAGGAGGCTGAGGCAGGAGAATTGCCTGACCCCAGGAGGCGGAGGTTGCGGTGAGCCGAGATCGCGCCATTGCACTCCAGCCTGGGTAACAAGGGCGAAACTCCGTCTCAAAAAAAAAAAGAGTACTACTTTTTACTCTTGACTTTTATTGTGTTGTCTTTAATAAACAAATAGTATAATTTTTTTTTTACAAGGAAACACATGGATGGATGTCTTTCTGGTATTCACACCAAGATAAGATTAGTGTATTCTATTCTAGTTACTTCTTATTAATAGTTACTTAGTATTTATAAACAATCCTTGTTTTCTTAATTATTAGCTATGTTAATTTTTATTCTATGCTTCACTTGCTCTGACATAGACATAGTAGGTTTCTGCTTTTTTTCAAATCCACAATCTTTATAACGAACTGAAGTATATAATAGAGCACTATATTTTGTTTTTATTTGTTTATGTGGTCTTTTGGATCAAATATTTAACATTTGCTCTGAAAAAATGTTTTTGTGATTTGTCTTTTTTGCCTTGAGATAGGTCTGTTTATCCTGCCTTCTAGGGACAAGTTTCTGCCTGGATTGAAACAGAAAAACCACAGAAGTCACAAGCATGTTACCTATTAAAAGAGAGAGGGACCGGGTGCGGTGGCTGAAGCCTGTAATCCCAGCACTTTGGAAGGCCAAGGCGGGTGGATCACAAGGTCAAGAGATCGAGACCATTCTGGTCAACATGATGAAACCCCGTCTCTACTAAAAATCCAAAAAAATTAGCTGGGCATGGTGGCGCGTGCCTGTAATCCCAGCTACTCAGGAGGCTGAGGCGGGAGAATTGCCTGAACCCAGGAGGCGGAGGTTGCGGTGAGCCGAGATAGCGCCATTGCACTCCAGCCTGGGTAACAAGAGTGAAACTCCGTCTCAAAAAAAAAAAAAAAAAAAAAGAGAGGGTATCTCTGAAGACTAATTAAAATGGTAATTTTTTAAAAGATGGGACAAGTTGACTTTTAGTATATGACCCCAAGTATTATCGCAAAATGATAATGCAAAACAGAATAATTTGGAGACCTGGAGAAAAACTGGTAGTAGGATTACTGGAGAGGGGAAGAAGCACATGTGATCAGGATAAATAATGATTGTTTGTCCTCAGCTTTAGGTAGAGGTGCTAAAGAAACTACCTGCCTCACAGATGAGCATGCATGGGTGTACTGTACTTTGAAGGAAGACTTGCCGTTTCTGAGGTACCATGGAGAAGTGTAAGAGAGCAGAAACTGTCACTTCTGAATCTTTGATTCCAGCAGCAAAAATGTTTTGCACATAGTTGAATACAGTGTTGATAAATGGAGGACAGCATTAAATCTTTTTTCTATTAAAACTTTCCCTTTCTTCTGCACCACCAACGTGTATTTCAAGCCTCCCTGTCCCACAGAGCTTCCAAAGCCCATAAATTTGTTAATCTAGAGCAGGGATCAGCAGACTACCACCCATGCGCCAAATCTGGCCTGCTACCTATTTTTGTATGGCCTACTAAGTATGGTTTTTATATTTTTAATGGTTTTAAATAATATTTTGTATAATGCAAAAATTACGTGAAATTAAATTTTAGTTTCTCTAAAGTTTTGGAAAGAGCTACTATTCTCCAATTTGTTTTCATGTCATCTCTGACCACTTTTGTGCTACAATGGCAGAGTTGAATAGCTGCATCAGTGGTAGCATCTGGCCAGCAAGGCCAAAACTATTACTGTCTGGCCCTTTATGGAGAAAGTTTGCCTACCCCTTACCTCCTTTATCTAATGCAATATATAAGTTCCATCAACAAACAAGAAATTGACTTGGTAACATGAGAACCTAGAGCTGAATGTTAAGGTACAGTAATGATGCTTGCTCCAAACATTTATTGAGCACTGCTAAGGTACTTTACTCCATTGTTTATAAAGAATCCGGTGAGGGAGAGAGGCATTATTTCCAATGTACAGATGGGAAAATTGAGATACAGAGTGGTTAACTTGCCCAAGTTTAAGTAGTGGGAGCTGCAGACCCTGGCTGTCTGACTTGAGCCACTGCCCTTTACCCTTGTGCTATGCTGCCACCCCTTGTGGACGTTGGCTTAACCTGATATTTCAGAAACAATTAGGTTGTCCTGGGTAGAAGAAACATCTTCATCCTTCACTTTAAATTAGACATTTTCAATGCAATTGTACTAAATGTTGCAAATCAGGAGATAATTTGATGTTCATTCTTTGAATGGAGCATATAAAATACTGTTAACTTCTAATTTAACCAGCTCTAAGGTTTTTTGGAGATGGGGATAAGTGGAGAAGGAGAAGGATTTCTGCTTTAAAATTTCCCCCATGTTTTTGAGAGTTTATAATGACACAGAGGCTAAAGGGCTTAACCTTGACGGGTTGAGAGGTGAAAGTAACTTTCTGGATTTCTTACCAAGTCTGGGGTAAAGGGCTGATTCTTGAAGCATTAAACTAGATTTGCTTTTCTACTTGCAAATGGGTGTTCACAAGATAAATTTCATTAGTTTTTTAGGGTGAATGCTTCTCAATCATTGAGGAGCCAAAAGGCATGCCTCATTTTATTGCACGTCTCTGTATTGTACTTTGCAGATACTAATTTTGTTTTCTTTCTTTTTTTTTTTTTTTTTTTTAACAGATGGAAGGTTTGTGTCAGTCCTGCATGGAGAAAGTCATTTTCCCAACATCATGTGCTCACTTCGTGTCTCTCACATTTTGGTAATTCTCCCTATATTTCAAACTTTTTGATTATTATGATCTCTCTTATGGTGACTTGTAATTGGTGACCTTTGATGTCACTATCATGATTGTTTTGGGGCACCTCAAAGCACACCCATATAAGACAGTGAACATAGTTGATAAATGTCTGTGTTTTCCCCATCTCCCCCTCTCAAGGCCTTCCTATTCCCTGAGGCACAATATTGAAATTAGGCCAATAATAAGCCTACAGTGGCCTCTGCGTGTTCAAGTGACAGGAACAGTCACGTCTTTAACTTTAAATAAAAAACTAGAAATGATTATGATTAAGCATAGTGAGGAAGGCATGCCAAAAGCTAAGATGGGCTGAAAGCTATGCCTTTTGATCCAAGTTAGTTAGCTAAGTTGTAAATCCAAAGGAAAAGTTACTGAAGGAAATTAAAAGTGCTACTCCGGTGAGCACACAAGTGATAAGAAAGCAAAACAGTCTTATTACTGATAACAGAGAAAGTTTTAGTGGCTTGGATAAAAAATCAAACCGCCACATTTTCTTAAGCCAAAGCCTAATCTAGAGCAAGACTGTAACTGTCTCATATTCTGTGAAGGTTGAGGGAGGTGAGAAAGCTACAGAAGAAAAGTTGAAAGCCAGCAGAAATTGGTTCATGAAATTTAAGGGAAGAAGCTGTCTCCATAAAATAAAAGTGCAAGGTGAAGCAACAAGTGCTGATGTAGAAGTTGTA